TTATTTTTGTAAATAAACAACAGCTTATCACAAGCCTAGTCGTTTGCTTCAGAGTTGTCATGAAACCTTTTGAAATCCTACTGCTGTTTCTTATTAAAACAAAAATATTAGCACTTATTTTTGCATAATTGTACATCAACGGCACAAATATAAGACGACTGTTGTTTAACAAGAACTTGCGGTCTTCTACCATTTTGTCCTTTTCTAAGGATGCCCTTTCATTCTCTTACCATGTAAAAAGATTAGGTGGAAGAAAACAAAATAAATCTCTATCAGTTACATTACTTGTTAAAAAAAAATCACCCTTATAACAGCAATATATACAAGCTACTTTATTTACTCCTGGGGAAATTCTGCACAAAAAATTAAAAATTCTGTGCACAGTATTTTAAAATTCTGCAAATTTTGTTTGTCAAAATAACACAATATAATCACACCAGTTTCAATTATTTCTGGTCATTTATTTCAAAATGCCTGTCAGCAAGTATGGGCATTGGGGATTGGTCCTGCTTTGAGCAGGGGGTTGGACTAGATGACCTCCTGAGGTCCCTTCCAACCCTGATATTCTATGATTCTATGTCTGTAACAATACAGACAATAAAAAAAAAGATTGAGGAAATGCTTTTGACAAATAGATTCCTCACTAGGCATATTAACACAGAACTCTGAGTAATAATTCATTTAAACTACAATACAGAACCATATTTCCTGCACCCCTCAGGAGCAGTGCAAAGGCTTGGGGGAGTCAGGGGTAACGGAGGAGCTGAGGGAGAGGGAAGTAAATTGTTGGGAAGGAACCTGGGCAGGGTTGATAAAAATCAATTAAATCGGATTTTTTTAATTTAAATAGGATTTTTTTGATAAAATGCTTTGAGGAAAAAACCTATCTAAAGACAGTTTTAATTAAGATACTAATCTCCTGATTCCCAGTCCAAGTGTCTATTGAATTCCTGACGTTTGCTATTTTAATGGAAGACCTCAAGCACTGAGCCAGTAGCGTGTTTCTCCAGTGTCTTCTGACTTTTGCAGAGAAATATTTGCCCATTATAGAATACGAAATTGAACTCTTTCTAGGTGCAGGACTGAAGTCTGGCTCTAGCAAGATCAACCCAGCAATTCTGAAACTTTTGCTGTGTCCTCACATATAATGGACTATCAGCATGCTGCCATTCTCTTTTGCAAAAGTGATTGGAAACAGTATGAAACAGAGGACTGGGAGATGTGTAAACGCCGAAGTTCAGGACTGTCTGGATATAGGCCCATTTCTATTTAAAACATATAATTTAGAAAGAAAAGCAGAGATTATGATATAAATCCACTTAATTGATGTACCTGAGGAGTTTATAGAATGTTTAAACTCAGTACAGTATTTATCTTCTATACCATGCCAGCTGCAGGTTAATTAATCTAATTGTACAATATGCTTAGCTGAGGTAATTGCTGAAGGGTACGCAGGCACAGTGCCATACAATGAAACTATGCAACCTACATAGTAAAAGGAAAACTATGAGTCCATCTGTTTGTGTTCATGATTTATCGGCACTTATGGGATCAAACCTTGGTTTATATATTATACACCTGCTCTGGCCCAAGATACTTACACTGTACAGTACTCTCTATTTTCCTTCATATGTTATACCCAACTTTCTCTTTACTCCATTCCTTTTATTTCTTCTTCTGAGTCTGGCTTGGACTTCTCCTCAAGAGTTTAAATTATGTTTGTCCTTTACCATATTTTTTGTTTTGTTTTGCTTACAAGGGCTCAGATCCACAAAAGGACTTCTGCTCCTAACTCCATCATGTAGGTGCCACCAAAACTCTTAAAACCCCTGCTCGGCTACTGCCTAGTTATGGAGGCTCCCAAAATCCCTTGGTGCTTACATTTTTTTATGTTAAAGTCCCATGAGCACCTATATTTATGCTGCTGGGCACAATGCCTCAATTTAGGCACTGAGTGCCTACCTCACACCTAAGCCCCAGCAGGACTCTCAAACCACGTGAAGATCAGCATTCCCACACCTATCCTGGCTGCAGGGCCCGATCCAGTAGGCATTCTCAAAAAGTGCCTCTCTCTCAGAGGTGAGTGCCTTAAGCACCGGACTATAGAGTCATACTGTCTCTCTGGTCCAATACATATTTTTTATATAAAGTGGAATGGCTTCGAGAGATAGAGAGACCCCCTCTCATCAGAATATCCCATAGTCCATATATTAAGGCACTCACCTGAGAGCTATGAAACCTATGTTCAAATCCCTTCTCCTCATCAGGTAGAAGAAGGAATTGAACAAAGGTCTCTCATATCCTGGGGGAGTTCCCTAGCCACTGAGCTAAAGGCTAAATGTGGCTTCCCCATCCATTGTGTGGATTTGGGTGTGTACTGCCACTGTTTTTACAGGGAAGGGTTAGGCACCTGACTCGAGGCATCCTGTTTGAAAAGCTATCATGATTTAAGGCAAATCTCTTTTCCTTGAGCAATCTCAACTTGTTCAACATCTTTCTCACCTCCAAAATATAGTGCAGTTCTTAACCGTTCCACATGGTGAATCTCTCTTGTGGTGAAACTGAAAACTTTTAATACAATAGCCAATACTGGGGTGATTTACTAATGTTTTCAGTGACTAAAAAATTGTGAATCGATCCTTATACAGTATGTACCATTGTTATATGTAGTTAGGATGAGTACATGAAACAGAAGGAAATATGAAACTACTGGTTGTTATTCCTTCAGAGTAAGTATCTGGAAGGATCTCTCTAAAAAAATTAATTTGTTTTTCTTCTTTATTGTGGCCAGGTGCCTGTACAAACAGAACAGGCCCTTCATCTTAAAATATTGTGCAGTTTGAGAGACTTGGGCATGTCATGCTGATAACAGGAAACGTGCTCATGTTTCCCAGATCTCCCAAAGCTAGTGACACACTCTGGACCTAGCCAGAGAGCTCAGAATTACTTCTGCCAATGGCATGCCCCTAATGCCTGAAGAAAGAAATCCAACTGGCTACATCGACTTGTGAAAACAATTTTACCTAATAAAAGCCACTAGTGCTGTGCGGATAGCAGTCTCTAGAGAAGTAACTACATCCAATTATTTGCCTCTGAATCCATTATCTTTTGAGCCCCTCTGAATGCACCATTGTGTCATCACTACTCACCTCTGATTGAGACACAAAATGAAGGAAATTCTAAAGAACGTGACCTTGTACCTCTGTCTTGTTTGCTATGCACATCTGGTTATGACCCAGTTATTGTACTGCCAAGACAACCAGCACACAACACAATTATGGCCCTTTTGACTTTCCATTATTTTATCAATTTTCCACAGAGACTAACAGGACTTGCAGCTGTTATAACTATACACATCTGAGAGATAGCAAATGCCTTGCAAAGAAAGGTATTACAGATGTGGACAGATGCTCCTTACAATTACATTAGAGAATACCATTAGTATGGTTAACCCCTTGTCTAATGGCTAAACAAAATGGTTAAAAGAACAGATTATTTATAAATATGTGATCAAAATTCAGGACTGTCACCAACACTAAGAGCAATTGTAACATTCAGTCCAGTGCTAACTGTACATCTAGGCTATGTCTACATAGCAATTAAACAACTGCAGCTGGCCCAGATCAGCTGACTCAGGCTCACAAGACTTGGGCTCTGGGGCTATAAAACTGCAGTGTAGACATTCAGGCTCAGGCTCCACCTGCAGCTGGCCCAGGTCAGCTGACATGGACCAGCTCTGGGTGTTTAACTGTTGTGCAGACATACCTCTAGAGTCGGGAGTTCAAATTCTGTCTAATGGCACAAATGACAGGAGCTTTCATGGTCTCTTCATAGTTCCCATTGTGCTAATCAGAAAAATGCCACAAACTTGGCACCTTTAACAACCACTTCACAGGTACCCAAAATTAGAACAGCAATAGTATAAAGACCCAGATGGATTCACAGAACTGTAGCAGAAATCTTGTCCTGTACCACTCCACGTTATGCCTTACTTAATTAAGCCTATGCTATCAATCTCTCTTTCACGAGCTCTAAATTCACGCATTTTTTAAAAAGTGACACTATTGTCCTTTCTTTACATTTCAACAATGTTTAGACTTTACACTAATAATGTTATTGAATAAAATTTAAGTCTTGTATAATTACTGGTGGATCCCTATGCTTTAGTGAGTATTATTATTATTTCCTGATTTCAGAAACTGACAAAAACATAGCACTCTGAAAGTAGACCCATAGAAACTTAATATCGAACTGGCAGAAAATGTATATGGAATAATAAAATATTCCACAACTTATTGCCCCAACACAAGAAAAGATGATGAGCAAGGATTCCTTTTTCCATTTTTGACAGACTATTAAAAGTAAGACAGGTTTCAGAGGAACAGCCATGTTAGTCTGTATTCGCAAAAAGAAAAGGAGTACTTGTGGCACCAAGGTGCCACAAGTACTCCTTTTCTTTTTATTAAAAGTAAGAGGAGCACTTTATTCCAATGAGAATAATATGGCTTCAGTGAAGATGTATATATTTACATTAAAGACTGTGAGGCACTCAGATACTATGATAATGGAGGTCATATAAATAAGTAAAGTAAATAAATAAGATAGATAGATAGATATGGTTTAGCCAAGCTAAAAAGCTGTAGAAAAAAAACTATTCATTTTTTTCTCAGCACAGAAGACATTTGTTAAAACAAAGCACATATGTTACCTCTCTGCAGCTAAATATTAAACACACTGTGATAATTTAAGGAAAAGGTATTCATATTACTGTGCTTTCAGCATTCAGTATGTCAATCGTAACTGTGCTTTATAATTAGAAGAACAGACCATCTATTAAAACTTTTCTCCTCAAAAATATCCATCTCTTTTTAATATCAACAAGTATAATATGGCCAAATTCTGCCCTCATTTAAATTCATGCAGGTCCAGAATATAGCCCTGTGTACGATCTTAAACCCTATTGTACATGTGCTCCTTTAAAAAAAATATATATGCTTTACCTTTAACATTCTTTCCAAATCCCATAGAAGCAGGAATTGAACTATCCACTTGTCTTTTGCTGTTGGTTTTCTCTTTCATGACATCATCATCACTTGAAATGTCATCAGAGCTCATCTTCTTTTTCTTCTTCTTTTTATGTCGCGGTGGGAGCTTTTTTGGGAAAGTAAACATTGGGAATATCACAAGGAGCATTGCAATGGCACAAAGGAGGAATCCACTCCACCTAAAGTGAGGAAATACGAGTAACAGTTGAGAGCTAATGCATTATGTGGAACAAAAACAGCAAAGAAAACTATGTGGCTATCACTTTCTGTAACTAGACAGAAAACCATAGTTCACACTAATGTTTGGAAAACCAATAAAAATATTAACAGAACAGAAGAGTCAACACAAAGCTTCTTCTGGGGTACTGAATGCAAAATGAAATCAAAGGAAGCATCTATTAAGAACACCACCATCATTCAGTTTAATTTTAAAAGAATTTACCTAGAAAGTATCAATTGATATGACAATAATGTCACTTTTGTGCTCTCTAGAGTTTATTGCTTTTAACAATACCATACCAAATATTGAGGAGATGCTCTTTATTCAGATTTACTTAGCTCACACTCAGGCAAATTCCCACTGAAATTAATGGGATTTTGCCAGATTAAAAAATGGACCTTTGGAGACCCGAGCCCAGGGTTCCCTTATGCACAGATGGATCTCTGCTTTCCCATAGGCAGCAGGTATGATCAAGCATTTATAGAAAAGCACAGTCTCATTCCCTGGATCAGACGAAGGCATCTTGCAGGATCAAGTGTGTAGGACGGAGGTGAATGGCTGCAGGAATGCAGATCATCCTCCCTGGAGCCAGTAGCAGAGCCAGGTTTTGAGCAGTGGCAGAACCAAGAGGGACAATGGGTCATCAGTAGTGCCACTTTCAATTATACCTACTGGCTTGAAAAGGCGCCACAAATACACCTAAAAGTCAGTGGGTTGGGAGAGAGGAGGGTGTTACACCCCCTGCCTGCCACACTATAAGGCCTGCCACTGCCTGGAGCCCATAAGCTTTATTAACTTTCTCCAGGATCGCCCTCCATGCAGGGAATCTTCCTCAAAAAGGGATTTTAGGGACAGGTGCCAGATGGCGAATCCCACACTGCCAGCTGGTAGCCATATGGCACCAGAGCAGGGGATATAGGATAAGCTCTTAAGGTCCTTCCTCATCTCAAGAGATCTGCAGTAAGGGGAAAGGGTTTGTGGACTCCTGGTTTATTCGGGGGGGGGGAGGGGGAGGAGGGTGGGTGGAGATTATGAAGTTTCCTGTCCCCTACCTGGGTGTTTCCATAAAGAAGTCCAGCCTTAAGAAAAGAGTCCACAATTTGCCCAACGGAACTGCTCCAACCTACTGAAAACATGTGTCTCAAAAAATACTGAAGTCTTTGGTCCTGAGTCTGATCCCTCTTACATGGATGTAAATGAAGAGCAGATCCACTGAAATCAATGGTGTTACACCAGCATAAAACCAGTGTGAGAAGAGAGTCAGGCCCCTGCACTTCAAATCACTGTTTGTAGGGCTGAATTTCACATCTCTGTTCATCACCTGCACCTAGGGACCCAGCACCACTCACATAAAGACACTGAACCGAATAGTATACACTACATATAGGAAAATAGTCACAAAAGTCAACAGGACTATTTACATGAATAAAGGAAACAGCATTCGGCCCCCTTTTGCAATGCACAGAGAAATACAGGATATAATTTTAAATTGGGCCTAATCTGACATACATGTATGTGTGATGACTTGTGTGCCATGCAAAATGGGATCAAGAGTGGTTAGAGCTAGGACAAGCCAGGCACTAAAAACTACGCAGACAGCTTTCATAATGGCTAGGAAACATGAAGTGATGGCAAGTTTTGGCTATGTAGTTTTGATAGTAGGTAAACAGAAAATCACCCCTTTCAGCTGATAGGATACATAGAGAAGTTTGCATTAGAAATGGGAGTTTTATCAGGCACTATCACCCAGAGAATAAATTCGTACAGTGCGTCAAAACACAGTAATAATTCCTTTTGGGATCTCAGGGCATGTCCAAATGCGGCTGGGAACAGGCTCCCTGCATGGGTTCCCAGACACCTGCTCACTTTGCTTGAGCTAGCACCCTAAAAATAGCAGCACAGCTGGAGTAGCAGGGGCGCAGCTTGGGGTAACTGCCTGAGTATGACCCTGCCGGATCCCTGGGGACCTACGCAGGCGGCTAACCCAAGCTGCTACCTTGGCTACACTGCTATTTTTAGTGCGCTAGCTTGAGCGATGCTAGTGCATCTACCCACTTACGCTGGAAAACCTCGTTCCAGCTGGAGTGTAGACATACCCACCAAAACATAAAGCATCGATCAAGGGGATCAATGGGGAGTGTGGCAAATTGCCAGCAGTACTTTGATGGGTCTCGCGCTTTCTCTTCTTGGGGAGGGTTCAGGACACCATTTCTCGCTCCTGAACTGGGGTATTAACTGCCCCACTAGTGTCCTAGAGGAGAGGAGTGGAGAGGGAAGGACCCAGGCCCACCCTATACTCTGGGTCCCAGCCCAGGGGCCCTAGGGATAACGGTAAACCACTTGAACGAGCGGTTCCTACACCTGGGCTACTTCCCTTCCTGCACAAACCAGGTGTCCCTTTACCTAGGGTCTTGGTCTTCTTAGCCCACCACAGCACTTCTTCAAATCTCCTCTGCTTCCCTCCAAACTGCTCTCTGCTCCAACACCAATCCACTCTGCTTCAACTCCTTCCCTTGTCTGATTAAAGCAGGGGGGTTTTATCAGGTGACTGGCTTCAGGTGCTTTAATTAAACTATAGCAAACTTTCTTCCCTCTACAGGGAATAAGGCTCCCTTCTAACACTCTCCTGCTGGCCCCGTTATTCCACCTTGGTCCCAAGGCCCGTCGGGGACATTAGTTGGCGGCTCCTTCACGGAGCTGTGAGCACGGGCGTGTTTTTGACACGGTTCATCCCCATCCCGGATACTTGCCCTTTTTGCAATGTGAGGGAAACCCTGGCACACGTATATTTAGAGTGTGCCAGACTGCAGCCCCTTTTTCGGCTCCTCACAAATATTTTATTATGCTTTTGGCTCCACTTTTCCCCTCACCTTTTTATCTACACACTCCCCATCCGTGGCCCCACAAAATCGCGAGATCTCCTGGTTAACCTCCTAGCCCTAGCTAAAACAGCCGTTTATAAAACCAGAGAGGGGAGATTGACTAATGAAGCGTCGTGCGATTGTAGGGCCGTTTTCCGATCCTCAGTACATTCACGTATCTGGGCAGAGTTCCTCTGGGCGGCGTCCACCGACTCCTTTGACACCTTCGAGGAGCGGTGGGCACTGTCTGAGGTTCTTTGCTCGGTGACCCCGTCTGGTTCCCTCCGCCTGACCCTTTGATTGAGGGGAAGAGCAAGAGACCCCAACCCCAGCCATTGCCGCTGTGGATACCATCATCATTGTCACCTAGGAGGGGTCCTATAACACGTGGGTGTACTCCTCCCCACCCCAAACCGCCCACCCCGCAGCTGCGCCCATCTTGTCGGGCACTCTCAGGAGAGGAATAATCGGTGACACTGGGCATGGCACTAGGTAACTCGAGGGGGTGGAAGACCACGAGTGTCGAGGAAGACCCCCCGCTCTAGGCCACCAGGTAACTCAGAAGGGTGGAAGACCACAAATGTCGAGGAAGCCCCCCCGCTCTGGGCCCAGGCTAGCCTGAATACTTCTCCCTCTTGAAGGCTGCTGTGTTATACCTTCTGTTTGCTCTTGTTTTGTTGCATAGTTTTGCTTTATCCTCTTTGGTGATTCTTTGTAAGTGTTACACAAATAAAATTCTTTTCTGCTTCAAAAAAAAAAAACCAAAACACTCTCCTGCTGGCCCCGGTGGGCTAGCCTGTATTCCACCTTGGTCCCGAGGCCCGTCGGGGACATTAGTTGGCGGCTCCTTCACGGAGTTGTGAGCACGGGCGTGTTTTTGATGCGTTTCACCCCCATCCCGGATACTTGCCCTTTTTGCAATGTGAGGGAAACCCTGGCGCACGTATATTTAGAGTGTGCCAGATTGCAGCCCCTTTTCCGGCTCCTCACAAATATTTTATTACGCTTTTGGCTACATTTTTCCCCTCACCTTTTTATCTATACACTCCCCATCTGTGGCCCCACAAAATAGCGAGATCTCCTGGTTAACCTCCTCCTAGCCCTAGCTAAAACAGCCATTTATAAAACCAGAGAGGGGAGGTTGGCTCATGAAGCGTCCTGCGATTGTAGGGCCGTTTTCCGATCCTCAGTACATTCACGTATCCGGGCGGAGTTCCTCTGGGCGGCATCCACCGACTCCCTTGATGCCTTTGAGGAGCGGTGGGCGCTGTCCGAGGTTCTCTGCTTGGTAAGCCCGTCGGGTTCCCTCCGCCTGACCCTTTGATTGAGGGGAAGAGCGAGAGGCCCTAGCCCCTGCCGCTGTGGATGCCGTCATCACTGTCACCTAGGAAGGGTCCTATAACACGTGGGTGTACAGCTCCCCCCCACCCCAAACCGCCCACCCCGCAGTCGTGCCCATCTTGTCGGGCACTCTCAGGAGAGGAATAATCGGTTGACACTGGGCGTGGCACTAGATAACTCGAGGGAGTGGAAGACCACGAGTGTCGAGGAAGCCCGCCCGCTCTGGGCCCAGGCTAGCCTGAACACTTCTCCCTCCCGAAGGCTGCTGTGTTATACCTTGTGTTTGCTTTTGTTTTGTTGCATAATTTGCTTTATTCTCTTTGGTAATTCTTTGTAAGTGTTACACAAATAAAAAATTTTTCTGCTTCCAAAACAAAAAACAAAAAAACACTCTCCTGCCGCCCTCTGGCCATGCTGTATCACATGAGGCACCAGTTGTCTGTGGGCAAAATACTAAGTGCTAGAGATGACACAACTGCAGCATTGTACGTAATCTTGTACTTACATGATAGATATCAAAGAATTGGACAACAGACTAAAGAGATAAGGAGTTTCAATATTAACAATGAGGAACGAATAGGTCCCTTCTGACCTAAATATCTATGAATAGGCAAATGACATTTACATTAATTAGAACACAGGAGATAGAAAATTTTTTAGTGTTTTGAAGGATAAAGATATGGGGCACACCTCAAAAGGTATCTTAACAAGTACTAGGGTCAAACAAAAGTAATGGAAGCTAGGAAAGATCCAGACAGTGCAGAAGAAATTCCTTTCAACTTCTTGCGTGGAACAGACAATGAAAGGCAGCATTAGAAGATCAAACTTATTCAATGCATTTTACAAAGATGTATTAAAACGACCCAGAATTCAATAAGCTGAGCAAAATGAATTTCTACTGAAATTCAGATGAAGAGTTAGAACAGTAGATGTCCTCAGAAGGGCTCTTACTGGATTCAGTTGACCTCATAATGTCTAAACCAAATTACATTTCTGCATAATATATGTTTGTAAGGAAGAAAGGAAGGGTTGTTGTTTTTTCTAATAAAAAACAGAACCCACGGCAACCAACACTTTCTCCCTATAGTTACATTTACTCTGCAATATTATCTTCATACTTATTATTATTTTGATTATTAATATAATTTCCCCTAGGTTTCTGTGACAAGTGGATTTAGGCACTTCACAGATCTAACACAAGCAAAGAAAGACAATCAGACAGTACATTACTTCAAGGGACACGGTTGAGGCTGCCAGGTCCCAAATGTGACTCTTCTTAAACTTCAACCTTATCTTAAAATGTATCGCTACTTTGGAAAAAAAATATCAAACCTCTGAAATAAGGACTGCAAAACGCTTAGAATTTTGAGATGAAAATCAATCAAATAAAATCTGCCCAAATGACATTCCCCTCCTTGGGGGAAATTTCTGGACCCCCATAAAATAGATGTTAGTGGCATGGATGGCTACATTTTGGATCTCCCTGCAACTGGACTAATGAATGTGTCAAAGGAACGAGCACATGATCCTGCACCATTAAAGTCCGTTTTTAAAACACCCATTAATTTTAGTGGTTCAGAATCAAGAACCAAACACACATTGCTCAGAAACAATTGCCTAATACTAGCTGGCCAAATTCTTTTACAGACTCTTATAATAATTTGCCAGCTACTTTTTCAATAGTGTTTCTCTACAGTGGATAAGTTGGAAAGCAAATTACTTCAGTAAATGCTTCAGGACAGAAGTTTATTTAAACTTAATCAAATGTCAAGAAGCTTGTGAAGCCAAAGTTCAAAGACCAGCCTCTGGTCCTGAACAGGAATATTCCTGAATCAGTATTTAAGGGGTGAAAAACAGCTAATCTGCAATACCATGAACAGATCAAGATAGACTGGAGATGGAAATCTACTTATTAAGGATTATGTACTGATTTAGGCAGTTCCTGGAAGGACTAGGTGGATCATATGGGATTGGCCTTTTACTTCTATGTCATTTTTGGTTCAAATTTGGCACTAAACAGTAGTGACCTAGTCCAATTTCACCATCACAAATGGCACATGTTTTGGCAGTCTCATCGGATCAACCAAATAATGAATGGGCATGTAGAAAGAAACACACTCTTGCTCAAAGTGGTACCAGGTCAGAATTAAGGCACATTGGTGAAGTAATATGGAAGACATTTCAGTGCTGCTGTCCATGCTATGCCTGTTCTGTGGAACATTACTTACCGGTAATTCATATTCTATAATTATAATACCTCTTTGCTCTTTTGTTCATGCTTCCAACAAGTGGCTTGGATGGAACTCTCATAACTGAATATTTTAAGCCATTAAGCCTCCGCACCAGTGGATGACTTGAGCATACCTGCTGATAGATGTAATACTTACCCTACACGTCAGTTCCTTTTAACATCAAAATGGTAACACAAAAGACATAACAAAATATCCCCATCTCTGTAGGTAAAATGGGTGGACGAATGAGAGCCTATTAAAATTATTTCCCTCTGAAAATTTCTCTCTCTTGTCCAGGGTAAGTAATTTTGACAGATCCTACTATTGGAAACCAAAATGTTCTAGGGATGTTTCAGAATAGAAATAGGAAATGAAAAAAACTGTTATAGAAAAAAAGGAGAACGGATATTAACAACATTCCAGTGCAACAGGCATGGAATGCAACATTAATAAGAAAAAAAACTTTCTTTCACATAGTTGGGAAAAAGATACCTGTCAACAAATAGATAACACAGAAAAACTAATATAGAAATTTCTCTTTAAAAATATACACCTACAGGGCAGACAGAGTAAATCTCCACTCAACTCAAAAACAGATTTCATAATACATATAAGCTTAATGTGGATACATGATGCCCCACTTTGGAAAACTATACAGTACAGATACACCCATTTGGATGCCCAGCAAATCATTTGACAAGTACTAATCTGAGGCTCACTATCATTTCTGACATATCTCTGGCCAAATAAACTTCAACATGCCCTGAAGAATTGCTAAGAATTAAACATATTTTGCACTTATGCCTTTTACTCAATATCTCAAAGCACTTTTTGATCACAAAATTAACCCAGAGAACACCTCTGTGAAGTAAGTAGATAGTAAAACTAAGACAGACTGGTTAAGCCCAAGGTCACACAGTGAATGACTGACATAGAACTCAGGAGTATGGATTTCTAGTCCACTACAGTGAAAATTCAGTCTAACAGCCATTTAAAGATCATTGTCTTGAACATTGTTTCACTGGATTTAAACTAATAAAACAAAAAACCTGAATGGATCTTCTAAGGGCTTTACTACATTCCAGAGAAGGAATAATTTCAAGACTAATTTGTGGAGGAAGGGGTTGTCAGAATTAGGTATATACACACCCAAGATATGGCTACAGTCATATAGCAGAAAGTATTAACCAGGTTGTACCACAGCTCCAACTTGGTTTGGCCTGCTGGAAATGGTGACATAGTGTTTGTAGTGAGAATAGATCTCAGGAAGTCCAAGACTGATGCTGAGGACATTTGAGAGTTGTTGATCTATTGGCTGAGGCTTTGACCTGAGCCAGAAGGAATAGCCTTCCAAGGGAAGCAGTGGGGGCAAAAAAAATCTATCTGGCTTTAAGAGTAAACTCGATAAGTTTATGGAGGAGATGGTATGACGGGATAACATGATTTTGGTAATTAATTGATCTTTAAATATTCATGGTAAATAGGCCTAATGGCCTGTGATGGGATATTAGATGGGGTGGGATCTGAGTTACCCAGGAAAGAATTTTCTGTAGTATCTGGCTGGTGAATCTTGCCCATATGCTCAGGGTTTAGATGATCGCCATATTTGGGGTCAGGAAGGAATTTTCCTCCAGGGCAAATTGGAAAAGGCCCTGGAGGTTTTTCGCCTTCCTCTCTAGCATGGAGCACGGGTCACTTGCTGGAGGATTCTCTGCTCCTTGAAGTCTTTAAACCACAATTTGAGGACTTCGATAGCTCAGACATAGGTGAGGTTTTTCGCAGGAGTGGGTGGGTGAGATTCTGTGGCCTGCGTTGTGCAGGAGGTCAGCCTAGATGATCATAATGGTCCCTTCTGACCTTAGTATCTATAAATCTATGAATCTAAACCTCCAAGTTGGAGCTGAGAATCAGAGAGGAACTGCATCAAGGATCTGGCAACAGTAAAACATAGGCATGCCACTTCATCTCTAACTTATATGAACCAACAAAATGATTCAAAGATACTGCAGTATCTACTGAACTGAACCAGCAAGGAAACCAGTTGCTCAGATGCGAAGTGTATACTCCCATGTGAAATAATGGACTACAAAATCTTCAAAGACCACTTATTTGAGGCCTTCATGACAATTTCAAGTCAGACTTATGAACTGCTTTGGGAAGGCCAGCCAAAGCCTGATACACTCGCTTCAGAACCTGACTGCTCATGGTGGCATTTCCAAGGAAATCCCACATGCTCACCAAGTCATTATGTTCCCAGACATATTCCATAATCATGACAATTGTTATACCGCAGCAGCAGCTAAGTACCCACCAATTGTTGGTGAATGATTTTAATGATTTGTATCTTTAGTTCTGTGAGTTCCAGCCAGTTACAAACTAAGAGTATGTCTGTACTAGAGCTAGAAGGTGTAAATTCCAGCTTGAGACATACCTGCACTAACTCGGATTGAGTTAGCTTGCTAAAGATAGAGTATAGTCAGAGTGGTACAAGCAGCAGGAGGGGCTAGTACAATCCTCTCCATATTTGGGTCAGCTAGCTGCTCATGCTGTTGCAACTAGACTTCTATTTTTAGTGCTCTAGCTCTATCAGACCTAGCCCACGTATGTCTCCTTGAGTTGGAATTTACACCTTCCAACTCTAGTGTAGACATACCCTCAGTCATATGAGATACAAGAGCTGAGAGGTGTAACAGTACAGTACTTAATGGTTGGAGAATGTCTTTAGCACAGTTTTAAATGTATAATTAATTTTAATATACAAAGAAATTATTCAATAAGATGTTCTAATACAAAAATACCTATTTTACTCACATCTGCACAATTCACAAGAGCACATGGGGCTGGTATGTTTTGAAGTGATCCTATTATTTTTTCCCTGGGCAGAGCACTGCTCTGGATCACCACATGATCCTGCCTCGGTGTGACAGCAGTGACCCCATACATCTAGATATGCTGCTGCTGTGCTATATAGTACTGGTATTTCATCCCACCTTTCCTGTACCATATGCAGAGCACCAATCAAAAGGAGTCCTGCAGCAGTAGGAAGATGGTGTCATTGTATCCATTTAATAGTATGTGTTTGTGTCTGTCAATAGCAAACCTTTCCTGCCTGCTAGGTCTGTACTGCTGAATCCTACGGCGATCCAGTAACTGTTAGCTACGGTCTCTCTCCTGGCTTCCTTTCTACATATTTCAACAGGCAGTCGAGATATCTCATATTTCCCAACGAATGATTGGGACCTGTACCACTGATAACTCATAGTCAGTGTTGAAAAACAGTTGATTCTTACCAGTTTCCAATGAATCGAGGGTCACTCTGGTCAATATAAACAGTTGTTCTAGGATCAACATAAAAACCAATAAGAACTCCTCCTAGTAAATAACCTGCGGCAGGACCAAGTGCTCCCATTACATACATGATGGCTACAAAAATACAAGAGAAAAACAATACATCAGATCATGCTAAGTCATGCATTAGTAATAAACATGCTTTTCAATAATTCTTTATATTTAAAAAATATGCTGCAGAACAGGAAATTGGGGATTGATTCACCAAAGGACATAGGCACCTACCTGCCACTTAGGTGTCTAAATTCCAGAATCAGGCCCCACTAGAATTCACAAAACCCTCACTCAGCCACTTCCAAAACCTGTAGGGGGCCTAAAAATGCCCAGAGACTATATTTTTGCAGTGCAAGTTGCCTAGGCACCTACGGTTCTTCCTCTGAGCGTGTACACTGCAGCTCCATGCCAGAAGTTTGGATGCCTAAGCCCCAGTGTGATGCATGAACCAGGAGAAGATAGGCGTCCTTCCGTCTCTCTTGCCTGCCAGACCCAATGTGGAAAGGGTGTTCAGAGCTTGCCCACCGGATGGGGCCCCTATAGGCGAGCTTACCCAAAGCAGCAGCTGGTGGGAGGAGAGAAGGAGCATCTTCCCTTATAACTTTTAGACCACCGGTTAGGGTACTCACATTGAATGTGGGAGACCACCCACTCCACCTCAGGGGGAGAAGGCATTTGAACTGGGATCTGCCACCTCTCACGTGAATGCCCAAGTCACTGGGCTCTAGGATGTTTTAATGAGGGGACTCCCCCAGTTTCTCCCGTTGAAACTTTTCCACTGTGGCTAAATAATTAAAAACATAAGTCACTAGAGGAGAGGAGCTGGATCCCCCACATGAATGCTCCAACCACCAGACTATAGACTCATTCTCACGCTTACATGCACACTCTCTTCTCTCACCCAATATTCTTTCATGAGTTATCCACAATGGAACACACACAACAGGAACACAGGCACAACAGGAGAGACTGAGGGATTCCCCACATCAGACTATCCTATAGCCCAGGGGTTCAGATCCCAGTTCAAATCCCTTTGTCTGATCAGATGCAGAGGAGGACATGAACCAGAGGTCTCCAGCATCTAGATGAGTACCTTAATCACTGGACTAAAAGTTCTTCTTGCCAGCCTTCTTGCTAAAATGTCATGGACACCTAATGCCAAGAGAGGGTTTGCATCTGAGAATCCCATGCAGAATGTGGAGCCTCCCAGCAGCCCAGATTTAAGCAACTATCTCCAAGACAAGAGCAGGAATTAGTACATACCCCTTACTTTAGCATCTCCCATTGGCTAGTTTACGCAAGGAGCCACATAGCATGCTGGCTTTTGGAATCCTATTCTGAGGTGCCTATATCTCCCCGTTCACTGTATGGGCAGTCTATGCGCCAAACTCAGGCTTTGTGAATCCCAATGATTTTCTAAGCACCTAACAGCAAGGCATGGTAATGCTCAGTGCCATCATACCTACATTCCTTTTGAATCTAGAGCCCAGGATGTTAGCTTGTGACACTCCACATTCAAAAGCAAGTTTTGCAATGCTGTAGGTGCAGTCCTTCATCACATTAGACAACTGGACAATATCCATTCCATTATGTTCACAGATGAGTGAAATTTTCAACAAGAAAATTGCACCCAACTTACATGTCTATAACTGACCAAATGTACGCATGGAATTTAGTCCCAGACCTGCAAAAGTATAGGCTCCTAGTTTTCATTCATTTCAATGGAAATTAGGCATATAAATATCTTTGTGGATCTGGGACTTAGTTTCAACATGTAGTGCTTAAGAATAATATTCTGTATATTCGGTACAGTTAGCCAACTTACATTTAATACATTATTATGATTTATTTAAAAGCACTCCTTTTGTATAGGACAGTTTTGTTACTATATATGTCTCATACTATACTCATCCATCAATCTAGATGGCTGCTAGGTAATTTGTCCTCCACCAGGTAGATGAGGTGACACTGTCTTGGATCTGAACAGCTACTGGGAATTAATAATAAACAATAGTTTGCTCTTCTATAGCTCTTTTCATCAGTAGATCACAAAAGTGCTTTACAAAGGAAGTCAGTACCATTATCCCCATCTTACAGAAGAGAACCCTGAGGTACAGAATGCAAAGTCATCCAACAGGCCAGTTAGCTTCAGGAAGAGAACCCATGGACTTATGAATTCCAGTCCTGTACTCTATTCCCCCTAGGCCACACGACCATTCAGTAGTCGAACAACATCGGGCAGGGAAGGTAGAGAGAGAGAATTAGTAGGACACTAAAGCTTTCAGGATCCAACAAATCATACTTTAACTTTCTTAATGAAAATTTGGTCTTGAAGGTTTCTACATGAGATGTGCACGTTGTTGCTATGTATCTTGTAGAGCATATCTTAATTATACGATTTCTATTTATCCAGTCTATTTATATCAGAACTTGACCCACTCAAATATGCCAGCTTTAGAGACTTTGAGACTTCTGTGCCTGCCATAGAGAACAAAAATCATCCTCATTTTCTGGAAGGACTTATCCTTTTGAGCTAGTACTTAATCATTCTTCTAACATCTTAGGAATGAAACTTCCACTTGACATCATGCAGTTCCAAGAAAGTGAAGGTAGTGAAAGGTCTTGTTTCAAGTAGAATGTCGAAGTGTGTTTCCACAAAGTCAGGGACTGTTGTTGGTACAAACTGATAAACTTTAAGACAAAGGTCTCTACTGCAATGAATACAAAGGGTGGTTTCGTGATTGCTCAGAGGACTAAGCTGAGGGTTCAAGTTTGGAATGTGTGAGGCTCAGGCCAGTCTCAGTCATTTAAATACCCTTTGGAACCTGGCAACAGATGGTGAGATAAAAGATCCTTTTTTCCTCTAGGCCCCTAATGTTGCCACTCAGATCCACAGGGAGCAGAAAATCAGGTCCTTGTGGAAAAAGAGGAAAAAGGCAATGCCAATCTTAACTGCTGACTAGTTCAGATCCCTTCTATGGGAACATGAAGGTGGATTACATCTGTTAGTACATGTAATACACTGGTTAAGGGCATGGGGACATATGTCCCTCTAGCAGCTGGCCCACATAGAAAATAATAGCCTGCTGCTTTCCAGCAGTTAGTGAAGTAAATTTACCATTATAGCTCCAATGGTAAGAACTGATGGTAAAGTTTATCACTTTAGCACAAGTGGTAAGGATTTGTGCTTTTGTTGCTGAAAGCCCAGAGTTTTATCTTCACTAAAAACTGAGTTCCTTCTGGATGGATTTCAGAAGATCAGAAAAGTTATCAAAACATTTTAACTGGAGTATGTTTAAATGTTTAGTTTCCATTCTGTTAGTGCCAAGGAGCCAGGTGTACATGCTTCATTGGGCTTAGGAGAGGACATTCACAGATACAGAATGTAGGTTATATGCCTTTTACGGAGGGAGTTTTGGCACCCAAAAGTCTTCAAAATAACAGCTTCTATAATCTTCAAGGGGTGGGATCTACACACTGGACATTGGGGTTGATAGATAATTAAAATGTGAGAAAGCTTTGTTTTCTAATTCTTTCAGATCAGATTATGCATTTTGTGTAGAGTATTTCAGATAGATATTTGATTCTGTAATCATTTTGAAAATGTTTCTTGTATTTTTTTATATCCTTTGTATTAACATTTTACAAAGTTTAAAATACAAGTACAAAAATATAACCAATTGTGACCAGATAAATATAAAACAACATAAGGCAATACATAATCAAATAATCATACTAATAGCTGCATTTTCATTAAAAACTGTAATAAAAGAATATTAAGGTTACAAAGTCAAAATCTCAAAAATTTTGAAATGTCAGAATTAAACTTGCCTATGCAACCTTAATTTGGCCCCTTGCACATGTGCATTATGATATAGTCCTTAATTACAAGATCACAAACTATTTTCCATGGAAACCCTGACTCATTCCCTGAAAACTTTGGATGCTGAAGCTGTCCAGAAAAAATGAATCCCAATGCAGACACCAGATATAGAAAGTTTTAATCCAAATAGTTAAAGTTTGGCAAAGTAACAAGCAACTGAAAAACAGGGTCTTATACTGGAAAGGGTTAGGTAACTTTAATTACAGGCTATGCTACTAGCTTCTCCTACAATAAACATGTCTGATTCAATAGCTTATTCATATAGCATATCACCTACCCAGCGAGAGCCCCAAATCCATATATCATCTCACAGGTCAAAAAATACAAAAAGGTTACCAAATATGTCTGATTAAATCCAACTAACTTGTACGTTTTCATCTTATGATTTGAAAGATGTGACTGATGAAAGGGCACATTCTTGTGGAAAAAAAGAAGCCTGTTTATCTGAGATCCTCATTATAGGCCCAACAGCCGAATTTAGCCCTCTGGCTAAGTACTGCCTATACAGGAGACCGGAATGCTTTTACACTGCAAATTGATTAAATAGACTTATTAGAGTTCTTAACTTCTTTTCTTTAAACAGAACATCTTTATTATTTATGGAACCCTGATTAAAAATAATTATACTTTGCCAAATTTCTTGTTACTTACAACTTGGACTATGTGATGCCGTGAGTCTTACAAAGAGATCATGACATGCCCAGAAGGCTTTTAATCTCTCCAAACTGATTTGGCATTTTAGAAACATGCAGTGTTCCTGAAGCCATTAAATACTACATTTTTTTCTAAATACTAAGCAATTTCTTGCTGACACATTGCTCATTTGTTTGATCCTTGAATAAACAAACAAGTATGTAACTGTTACCATCAGACTCAATTCTACATAGCTCATGTTATCTCATTAGTCTATCAGGCTTTATCTTACCTGCAATATTCTAATTAAACGGAACAGCCTTTTGGTACATGATGTACACTTTTTCCATTAATTTTCTTTTTTTAAGTGAACGAATTTAAAGCTCATGAAAGTGAGAGACTAACAGCAGTTCTCAATCTTCACCTGCAATAAATCTATACATTCCTTTCTTCTCTTTCCTCCTTCTCTCCAATTGTCACACTCACTTGTTTAATCTCTCTTAATTAGACCATAAACTCTGAGTAGAATTTGTAACCATTAAAGTCAATGGAATAACTCCAGAAA